GGGGGCCAGGGCGGCAGTGGCGGCTGCGGCGCCGCCGCCGCGCCGGGCGGGGCGGCGGTAGAGGCCGCCGATGCTCCGGCGGCGGCGCACGCGTCCGCAGAGGCGGGTGCGGGCGAGGCCGGCGGGGAGGGTTCCGCGGGCCCAGAGGCGCGGGGCGCGGGCACGGCGGTGGGCGGCATTGTCATCGAAGACGAGAATGACGACGACGCGCTGCTTTAGTCGTAGCTAAGTAGGTTTGTCATACTCTGAGGTTCACGCCTGTTAAGCGTGGCCGCCTGCGTGGCTGCCCGCTGCTGTGTGCCGCATCTGCGTGCCGGCGGGGCTGCGCATGTACTTCAAGGGGGGCGCCGGCGCCGCCGCGCACGGCCGCCCCGAGGCGGCCGCTGCCAGCTGGGGCCGGCGTCTGTAGAGCAGGTGACATGCTGCATTTCGGCTGCGCATCGCGTGGGGTTTGCTGTGGTCTTCTTTGGTGTGGACCAGCCATGCTTTTGTGTGCAGATGTCCATGTTTGCGGTGGCGCGGCGAAGGGCGCCGTCAGTGGTGGTGGCGGCAGGTGGTCCAGGGAGCTGCCCGGGGTCACCGGGCCGGCGCCCAAACGCGCACCGCCGCGCGTGTCTTGAGTGGCTTTGCAGGTGCATGATTTGGGGACGACGGGCCCGTGCCCCACCCCTGTGTTTTCGGCTTCAGGGTGGCACCTCCATGGAGGCCGTTGTGTGTGTGGTTGATTGCGTTGGCGAGTGGCGCTTTTCGGCGATGGCGCTTTTCGGCGGTGGCGGCTGGGTCGTGACTAAAAGCCAGGCATACGTGGCCTGGCTGCACGCACCGGTGTCGCAGCGTGAGTAATAAGGAGGCGCATTGAGGAGCTGCAAGGGTGCGGCATGTAGCGCTTTTTCGGGGGGGGGGGGGATGCGGGCGTGATGCCTCTGGGGAAAATATCTTGGCGACCCCCAGGGTCGATGTTTGCAAACTTGGCCAGGTGGGAGCGCTCCGCAACAAATGAGACAGATATCTGCAAAATACAGGAGAAGAAGCGTGCGGCACCAGCGGGGCGCTGCGTTACCGCCTGGGCAAGAGCATCAATGCGGCCAGCAGTCCAGCAGATGCGGGCATACCCGCAGCCGAGGGCGACGTCTGGGTCGCGGCACGCATATCAGGACGTGTCGTGCCAGTGACGAACAAGCGGCTATTATATATCTTACAGCGTGGCCCTGATGCGAAGCGATTAGCCCGTAGGGCCGCGGTTTCTGAGGGCAGAGTGCGTTGATGCACAGTTGGTCCAATGAGGAGACAATCTAAGCATCAGGCGAACGTGAGGGGCGACTCAGACGACGGTGCTCAACCGCGACTCGGGGTGCGTGGCTGGCATACTGGATCCGACCCCCGTGGCGCCCGGTCCGATCTGACAGGCTCGAATATTTCTGTTTCGCAGAATTATTCGGACAGAGGAGAGTCAGACAGAGAGGATGCGGCCCCGCAGCCGGAGGACCAGGTGATCCACGCGCCCGTCGGGGCGGCGCCCGCCGACATGCTGCTCCGCCCAAGTGGTTGCAAGGCCCTTGAAGCTGGCGCCCTCCAGAAATAGACACATTTGCAGCTTGCATGCGATATGCCATGCATGTACAGCCCATGCACGGACACCCTGCAACGAGCCCCGCTGATCCGCTGCCGCCCCGCCACAGGGGAAGCGGCTGCGGTCGTTCCGCACGCGCACCCTCTCCACGTTTGCCATGATCGCGTCGTTCGCGGCCATCATATACCTGGGACACGTGCCCCTCATGCTGCTGATATTCACGCTCCAGGCGAGCGGGGTGGCGGGGCGCCGTGTTCTGCGGCTGTCAGCGGGTCGAGCAGCGGAGGCGCAGAGCAGCAGCGGCGCCGCGTAGATGGCAGGGTGGCTGAAAATGGCGACGCCGCGGCGGGCCGGCTCTTTCCTACACCCCTCAGCGGCTGCCTCTCGCTGCCCGTGCAATGCGAGCGCCCCGCCGAACGCGTTTGCGCCCTGCAAGCCAAACGCGTGTGAGCGTGCAAGCTGTGCGTGCTTGCTGGTTGCTTGCACGACCAACGTGTACAGCCTCTAAACCTCTCGCCCCCTTCTGTCTCTCCCTCACACACACACACACATGCACGCACATCCGCACACACACAAGCACGCACACAAAGCACGCACGCACGCACAGCACACACACACACACACACACACAGACACACACACAAAAACACACACAAGCACACACACAAAGCACGCACGCACACAACAACAACAACACACACACACACACACACACACACACACACACAATGCAGCACAGCACAGCACAGCGCAATTCCACACGTCGACCACCTAACCACCCACCCACCC